AGAGAGGCAGGAAGGTCTGGAAAGGGTGTCAGGCAGAGAAGAGGCCCGAGATCCAGCCAACTGTTCAACAAACAGGCTCCGTGTGACACCTCCTCTCTGTGCCAGGCATTGTGCTAACAACTGTAGGGGTTTCAGTTACCCTCCCAGACGCAAACCATTAGACTTCCCAACTTGGCTTCTCGGAGAAGATGGCCTTTGGCTTTTTTTTTTTTTTTCTGCTTCCGTCCCAGTTTATTAGCCCCCACCCAGCCCCCTGCAAGTCCCTCCGCTCCAGCCGCCAGTCCCCCCGTTGCCCAGCCAGCGAGAGCGAGGGGTGCTCCTCAGTGCCAGGAGGCCTTTGGCTTTTGAGTGGGACAGGTAGACAGGAAGACAGGTAGATAGGTGGGGAAGGGCCACCAGGAAGAGAAGGGTAGGACCCAAGGTGTGGAAACAGAAAACCAGCCACCTTCTGGGAACAATGAGTGATTCTACTTGGCAAGTGGTTTGGCTGGTTGTGTTGGGGAGTAGCAAGAAAGAGGCTTGGCCACTTCCTGTGAGCAGAAGGGCCTACGAAGCAGGGTGCTCCGTGGGGCTAGGAGCTGGGCGTTGGGGCTCCACAGGAAGGTGTACAAGGAATGAGACGGATGTGAATGCTGGCCCCAGACAGAGGCAGGTCTGAGCCGGGTAGGGCCCCTTCCAACCGATCATGTCCGTCCTCCCCCCACCCAGACGGGATGCTCTACTCCGGCACCATGAACAACTTCCTGGGCAGCGAGCCCGTCCTGATGCGCGCGCTGGGATCCCTGCCTGTGCTCAAGACGGACAATTTCCTCCACTGGCTGCAATGTAAGAACCTGAGCCCTGCCCAGGACAGGTCTGGTCCCCTCCCCCCAGTCACTCTGCTCCTTGCTAAGGGCATACATACCACGTGCAGGGCAGTCCTGGTAGGCACTGGGGCACAGCAGGGAAGGAGACCGAGCTCCCGTCCCCGACGTGTGACATAAAGAAAGAAGTATCGGTCCTCCGCCCCCCCGCCCCCACGGCTACCCCGGATCAGCCGTGGCACCCGAGGCCTCCAGTCTCCTGGCCTCCAGGGCCAAACCAAGGGTTTTTCACCAAGGGGACCCCAGGGCACCCAGGGGCTCCACCCTAAGCCTCTCTGCCTACCCTCCCACCCC